TGTTTTATAATGATAAATTATATAAATTGGAAAAAAATAAAAATTAGTGTTTAGGATAAATATGGGTTGATTGCTAGAAAATCAGGTTCCGGAAAAATTGAGATTTTTATTGCATTTTAGTTTTTGATGTTATTAGATTAAAATGCATTAACATTAAGCTCTTAATTTTAGTTAAAAATTTCTCGGAACCTGATTTTCCTAGAAATTCTCCCATATAATAAAATAATTTAAAGAAAGGTTTATTATCCATAAGGAGTGTTATTTTTCAAATTTAAGGCGGTATTTATTTTTGTGTTTAAGGTTTTTTTACGTTAAATGTATATATGAATTAGTTAAGTTTAGATAGTTTAGATATTATAACCAAATTTAGGTGAAAATCCTTACCATGTAAGGGATGATTTTTTGTAGTAAAAATTACTGTAGAATGTTTAATTATAAATAAAACAGACCTTCATAAGGTTTCCAGGCAGGTTTCGACAGGCATCGAATTCGAAACCCGTTGAACCCGTCGAAACCCATTGAAGCCCTTCGAATCGAAAGGTTTCGACTTGCCAAAATGGATTTGGATTTTGCCCCGCAACCTTTGACCTTCAGCAAGTACGGATTGAAGCCAATAATATATTTTTTTATGAATAAAATAATGCATTTTTTTAAAAAAAAAATTTGATTAAATTCGATGTTTTAATATTTTTGCTTTATAACACTAACAATAAAAATATATACCTAAAATTTTCTGTCATGCAATTCAATTTTACTGTAAATGAGAATAATACTGAATATTTGCCTAAAATTCTAATTTAAAGTTTTCTAAGATATCAACACAAATATTATTAATTCAGGTTCTTTGGTAGTCGAATTTACACGATTTGTACAACGATACATTTTATTTTTTGAATTTATAGATGACCGTGTGCTTAAATTTTATTGTTTTCATCAGTTGTCGTGTCACAATTCTGTATACATTACGAAACGGAATTTAGTGTGGGTATATTTTTCAGTTTTAACATGATACTGCCCAAATCTGTTGGAGTAAGCGACGATTGTTTCTTGTGAAAAAACCAATGAGTTGAAAATGGAATGTTTCGGCTAAATTAAGATGTTACTGCATTTTAATCAATCTCAATTTATATTAAAAAATTTCCACAAGGTACCTGATGAAGATAAATAGAAGACTAATTTGTGAATAAGGCGTGCATTTATTTTTTTTTATGAAACGCCATGAGTCGAACAAGGAAATTACATATGATATCTATATACTGATGAAATCATTGAGATAAATAAACAAGTCAGATTACAATTTATAAACTGTATTTAAGTGTTCGTTTCTCTTTCAGCTTTCTTTCCAAGTTTCATTTTTTTTTGTAAACTTTTCCTTATACCCCCAAAAAAATTGTATTAACTTAAAATGCCAGTGAATCCAAATCAACTCTCCGTAGACAGTATGTATTGTTTATCTCTCTCTCTAAAACCAGAGTTTAATACTAATACTTCTTTTTTTTCTTCGTTGTTTCTCAGAGGACATTAGATTCAGAATCAATGACCAAATTCACGGCGGAAAAATCCAGAAAATAGATGGAAAAAATATTACCGTTTTTGACAATACCGATAAGAAAGGTAGTTCTGTTCATATTTTTTCTCTTGTTATAATACGAATATACCAAAATTAAACTTGTACATTTGTAGATGTAATTATCGATTTGAACGATATTATTGAAGTCAAATAAACAAAACGTATTCGAGACTGAATTTTCTCATTTTTCAAAGTTCTTTAAAAGATGTTCATTCTTTTTACCTAAATAAAGTTCTGATTTCAATACGCCAATTTCCACTTTGGGACACAATCACAATTAAACACAAAGATCACGTGATGTATATTTTGCCGCAGTGATCATTTTTATAAAATTTTTTTTATTACGTGATTTTACAAAAACTACCTCTCAAAAATTCATACCTTAAATCATTTCCATCCAAATAATTGATTTATAATGACCCCAAGTTTACGATGATATTAAATTTTATCACATTCACTCCGATAAAGTTCCAAATAATACAATCAAAAAATACTTTTTACAAACGATGCTCAAAACTATTTGTATGTCTTCTTTACTGTATGTTTCTAGATCATTATTCTGTTAAAAAATGATATGATTTACATTCAAATTACATACATTTAGGGTCTTTAAGAACTCATCTTCCAAAATATTTCTATATAGCTATTAAAAGATAATTTCAAAAAGCTAAATAAAGTAAAGTAGTAATAAGATAAAAAAATGTGTCCGGGCTTGACATAATAAATTCTACGTAATTATTTTGGAATATGTACGTTTTTGCCCGGATGTCTATAATTTGTCTGGATCTTTTATACGAGCTATTAGTTAAAATTAAAAAAAAAAATTAAATAAACTGGTATATTTTCATTGTTCTTAATGACAATGATATTTTATTGGTAAAAGATTTTATGTTAATGGATTTACAATTTATGGATGGATACAAGTACCGAGTTAAGTATTTTATACACATTTTTGAATGTAAAAGAAATTAGATTTTCGGATTCCGCGAATTGTATGAATCGATTTATAAACCTTTTTATGACTTTTTGTATCACCAAAATTAAGCGAATAGAAAATTGAATACGCTTCGTCGATTTAAATTATTTATTTATTATTTAATTAAGGTTAAAAGAAAAAAGAAAAAAATAGTTTTTAAAACAATTCGTTTAACGTGCTGTAGTCCATGAAATCACGTCATTGGTGATTAAAATATGAACCAATAAGAATTTAGAAATTAAAATATCAATATCTCTTCAAGATTATAATTAATAATACTTAATCTAAATTATCTAATATTTAAATTATAATATTGTTTAGCAATTATTTTTTTATAATATATTCACTTTAAATAAAATTAAAAGATAATTTTTAAAACTAAGGTTTTAGTTTATAAAAATAAACTTAATGTTAAATAAATACTTTTTATTATATTTTAAATTAAATATAAAAATTTAAATTTAAACTGAATTCCTAAAAATTAAATTACAGTCAACTCTTTCTAAATGCATCCCCTTGGGACCATAGTAAAAATTTTAAAAATATGCATTTAAAAAGGGTATGCAAATTTTTTTATGATTTTTATATACTTAGGACAGAACAAGAGCGTACATTTAGAGAGAAATATATATTATGTGCATTTAGAGACAATGCATTTAGAGTAAACTAACTGTAGTATTATTTTAAAATAATTCATATTATTGACTTAAGTTTCCTTTCTTATGTAAGTTTAATATATTAAAAAAAATTCTAATTTTAAGATAATTTCAAGTTAGAGCTCTGAACAGGTTGGTTCAGGTCAGGTCAATCAAGTTACCTGAACTGAGAAGATCAGGTCAGGTCAAACAAAAATCTGACCTGATTTAAATTTTTATTTGACCTAACTTGACCTGACCTAATCGAATTATAAAACATTATTTTTGAATGATAAAACCATTGTTCTTGAATGATAAATTATCATTTTTGAATGATAAATCATTATTTAAGAATAATAATGAATTATTCTAATTGAATGATAAAACATAATTCTTGAATAATAAAACCATCATTCAAGAATGATAAAACTATCATTTTTGAACAATAAAACCATCATTTAAGAATAATAAAATCATCATTTAAAAATGATAAAATCATTATTCAAGAATGATAAAAATATTATTCTAATTAAATGATAAAATATTATTCTTTAACGATAAAACTATCATTCTTAAATGATAAAATTATCATTCTAGAATAATAAAATCATCATTCTTAAATGATAAAACTATCATTCTTGAATAAAAAAATCATCATTCTCGAATGATAACAAATTGCTCTAATCAAATGATAAAATATCATTCAAGAATGATAAATTATTATTCTAATTGAATGATAAAATATCATTTTTGAATGATAAAACTATCATTTTCAGATGATAAAACTATCATTATTAGATAATAATGAATCATTCTAATTAAATGATAAAACTATCATTCTTAAACGATAAAAATATCATTCTCAGATAATAAAATATTATTCTTAGACGATAAAATATCATTTAAGAATGTTAACAAATTGTTCTAATTGAACGATAAAAAATCATTTAAGAATTTTGATTGGTTGACCTAAATTTTGTCAGGTTAAGTTAAATCAATTCGACCTGTTGACCTGATCTAACATTAACCTGAAAATCTACTAACTTGACCTGAATTTTTAGATTAGGTCAGGTCAGGTAAACAGATCAACTTGATCTAATTTAGAGCTCTATTTCAAGTCTATACTATATCATAATGTGAATTTTTTACACGTTTAATTTTTCATAAAAGCTGATATTTTAAAGACATAAGGCAAAATTGCTATACAAATTTGTTAAGGATTAAAAATGTATAAAGTTTTTTATTTATATTACCTAGTTCAAAGAATTGAGATAAAAAAATTAATAAATAGTATATCTATATTAATTTTTATTTAATAACAAATGATATAAGTTTTATGATAAAAATAATAAATTTAAAACTATTCACTGTAATGTTTATAATTTTAAAAAGTTCTAGTATATAAAGTTTAAATTTTTAGATATAAATTAATATACCATTCTATAAATTTGCGTACATATAATTTTTTGAGCATCAACATCTATTATAAAGTTTTAAAAGTGAAATCAAACAATAAAAAGGTTGGCATATAACTAAAAATAATATAATAAAAAATTATCTTGACTTAAATACTTTCTAATTCTTTAATTCTTTTTCTATACTTTGAGAATACTCTTTACATTCTTCAATTATATTTCTCTAAACCAATTCAATTTTTTTCATAATGGCTTCACAAGGAAGTGTTCCATTTTTATGATAAATCACAATTAACTTAATAGTTCTTCTTAACTCATCAATATGATGATTTAGAAATATTTAAACTTTTTTAAAAATGGTATCATTAGAGAAGCATTACTCAGTAAACTGTTTAGTTTATTATTCAAATTATTTCTAATATAGGCAATGCTTCTGCTTTAGTATGCTCTGCTTTTAATCCTACATTTCCTGCTACCACTGACATTATTGATAAAACTACTGTTATTACTACTGCTAATGCTTCTAATTCAATAGCTCCTATTGCTATTGTCATACTTATATCTATTGGTCCATTAAGAAAAAAGTAAATATAATCTACAACAATAATAGTTGCTAATGATCTATATAATAACTTATTTGATTCAGCTTTTTTTAATTTATTACATATTTTAGAATCAATATCAATATCTTTTACTTTGTTTAAATCATAATCTTTTAACTCTTTCTTAAGGTTCTGTATACTTTTCTTAATAGGACTAATTTTGGCAATAATTTTTTCAAATTTAGTATGATTTTTTTCAGCTTTCAATAAAAGTAATTTCAAGTTTACTAATATATTAGAAACAGACTGTTCATCATAAAATTTATTTAAAGACGTGAAATCTTTACCAAATGAAATTATATTATCCGTATGGTAAATTGTCTCAATAGCAACTGGATAGAATTTTATTTTATTCTCTAAAATCAACCTAACCTTACTTTCAAAAAATTTATTTCTAAAATCTAATTTCAAATTATTAGCTTCTTTTAAGAATTGGATTATTATATGAACTAAACCAAAAAGTTCTTTTATAGGAAGAGTTTCTTAAATTTATTTTGTTGACATTTTGATAATTTATTTTTTATTTTTTTTTGAGATATTTGATTTAGTTCTTTTATAAGGAAATTTAATGAAATAAAAATAAAATGCTTGTAAAACTATTGATAAAGAATTCCTTTTTTTAAAAAAAAAAAAAACAAAAAAAATAATACTATAAAACAATTGATAATTCTTTTTTTTTAAAAAAAAAAGTGCTTATAAAACAAATTTATAAAGAATTCTTTTTTTTAAAATAAAATAACATATTTATAAAACAATTGATAAAGAATTTCTTTTTTAAAATATAAAAAAACAATACATTAAAACAATTGCCTTTTTTTATTCTTTAAAATATCATAAAGCTATTTATATAAGATATCCTTTGTTAACTCTGTTATAAATTGTAAATTTTTATTGTGAATCTAATATACAGGCTATCATGAAAATAGTGATAAAGAATTCTTTTTTTTTTTTAAAACAAAAAAATGCTTGTTAAACAATTGATGAGAATTCTTTTTTTTTTTGAAATAAAAAAAAATGCTTGTTAAACAATTTGATAAAGATTTCTCTAATTTTATAAAAAAAAAATAATAATAATAACCACCAATTTGATTATAATGATAAGAATTTCTATTTATTCATTCTAAATTAAGTATTTATAACTATTGTATAGTAAGTCATAATTAATTATTTTGTGAATAATTTTATAAATAAATTTTATACAAATTTTAGTTGCACTGTACATAGAAGTGTTATTAAATACAAGATAAAATCCTTTTTTAAAATTTATTGTCAAATTCTTTTTAATTCTAAATTAGGGTTCATTAATAGGAAAAAAAATTTTTTTTCATATTTAAAAGAATTCATAACTTTATATTTTTATATCTTTCAACAGTTAATAGAAACTTTACTATTTATTCAAAATGGTTTTACTTGAACTAAATAAGTTCATTCATATATTTAATGATTTAATGGATATAAGGATCAAAATATCTTTAAAAATGTCAAAGGATTTGAATGAACTTGTAAAATACTTTAGAATTTTTTTTAGAAGATGATATTACTATTGATGACTTATTGTAAATATTATTAGTACTAAAAGAAATGGTAAAAAATAGAATTCGTAACTTTAAGAAATTAAGAAATGAATTTAAAAATTTTAAACGTTTTATATTAAATTATATTACTATAGATGTTAGCCAATTGATGAGACTTGCAAATGATAATAATGTAGAAGATATAAAATAAACATTATTACTCACAGATAGTAAACAATAACATTATCTAACTTTTCAAAATTCATTATTTTAGGTTTTATTAGAGATCATTAAGCCTATACCAATTTATGCTTTAGTGCATTTTTTACTACTAAATTTATAAAATAATTTGTCATTTTACTTAGCTATTTTTGTTTTCACCAGATATTATTTTTATAATCGCAAAGCATTATCAATGAAAGTAAAAAATTTGACAAAAAGAATTTATTTAAATAAATTCAATAGAAAGAGTAATAACATTCTGTTGATTAATAAAAGAGAACAAAACAAATTTAAAAAAAATATTTCAAGTAATTTTAACACATTTAGAAATACTAATACAGTTTTAGAAATAACAATTTGATATTTTTGAATTACATATAATTGCATTACATTCGATAGATGAGAGTGAGAATTTTAGGTTATCAAGTAATTTGGTAACTAGAATCATTGAAAGATGTACAGAAGAAAAAGCCTAATGCATAGAATATTATCAAATATTATTGCAACATTAATAATTTTAGAGACAGCATGAAATCTTTAATTAAAATTTTTATTGAAATCTGAGGATTAACATAAGGATTTTAATTCATTATTATATTTTATTAAATTTCTTAACTAAACCTTCTAAATTTTTGTCATAAATCATATTTAATTTATTTATTTGTTTATCGATAAATATTTTCTTTTTCATTTGTATCCCTTTATATATTTTCATAGTAATAAAGCTAAATATTTCAATTACAGTTCAGTGTTTCAAGTGTAAAATATTATAATTATTTTTATAAATTTTTACTAAAACGTTTTTTTGGAGATATATAAAATTTTTACCAGATAATTTAATGATTTATTAAATTAATGTTAAACAGTGAAAATACTGTACTATTCTGAAAATAAGCGTCTCCCAAAAATAAGCACCTCCTAAATTGATTCAGATCTGAAAATAAATACCCCTCCAAAATTATAATTTTTTTTTTTTAAAAGTTTTTACAAATAATTTAATAACTAAATAATAAAAATAACATTGATAATTAAATTTCTGTGCATTTTTATTATCCCTTCATCTGTAATACAGGCAAATTTACCTGCGAACATAAAAAAAAAGTATTAATTTTTTAATAAAAAATAAAATATTAATGTTAATAATATAATTATTATATA